CCTTGAACGGCCGTAAAACGGACTCTGCATTCTTCAGCTCTACGTGAAGAGCGCGCATGCGCCGGTTGCATGCCGGATTCGGAAGCCGATCTGCGATGTCATCATCTAGCTTGTCCAGGTGCTCGAGCAGCTGAAAACATCGGTGTAGCATCATGAGCGTAGAATTCCACCAGGTGGCTTGACGAATTACGGGTCGAGGAGACGTTTTAAGCCTTTATTTAACCAATGGAAAAACATTAAACGTGGGTAAATATCCACAAATATTTGATACATGACATTAATTTCCATAAAGCTAATGCTGCAGTTGCTGCCTACAATAAAGACACTTTGTTGCAGCTGCTTTCTAAAGTCACGCGGTAGCATGTCAGCAAGGAACGCCATGTGGGCTGCAGCAGAAAGGTCATCGTTTGGCTCGTTTAGGAGCGGGGTTATGCCTAGCAGCGGTGTCTTTACCTTCCCGTTGACTTCGTAGCAAGAGAAGACAGCCACGGTGTGCTCGGACAGGATAATACCAAAAATGTCCGGCATCTCTGAGGCAATTGACCTCTCCACTGCTGGCATGACCCCTTTAATTGTGGCTCTCAAGGTCTCCACGCAAACTATAGCACATAACAGCATAGTTTTAGTAACTTCTTTTAAATACCAGTGATTTAAAAAGAGTAATAAACGTACCGTCTCGTTGTGCGATTCTCACAGAACGAGAGAGGCAAGCTGCTCGAAATAATCCTAAGCATCCACCCGTACAAATTGTGCAAGATCCTGCGAACGTAATTGAGCAGGGACCCTGTCTCGGCCGTCGTTGCATCAAGCATTTTAGCTTCGAAATCGGGGTGCTCACGTCTCACGTGCTGCATTAGGTTGGTCAGCCCGTTGCGAAGGGTTTGCTTTCGAACCGTGCCGCAACGACACCGGAAGCACTCGAGGATGGTCGTCGCGGCACAATTAGAAGAAGAACTCAGTAAATTGAGCAGACGTGAAATTTATACGGGCGGGGGGCGTAACAAAGACCATGTCAATTGCTGAATATAAGTTTCGGTTGCAGGAGAATAAAAACAATTAGTATGAGAGCTGTAGACTCAATGACAGGCCGGGGATTTGCCAGGGTTTATCGGTTGGTCGGGAGAGGACGCCAGAATGGGATGGATACATTATGGCATGCGGGAACATTCATTAGGCCCTTGTTCAGGTACAAGCATGCATTCTGTACTGAAAACCAAAACTTCTTCTATTGGTCAGAAATGCAGGGGTACTGTGTACCAATTTGGGTCTGTTGCGTTCTGGCACGCAGCAGATCAGACCTAACGAACAGAGGTGTTCTGGGTGGAGCACAATTGTGCTAGAGCGGCCTTGCTTTTATATACCATTCATTTCACGCAAAGCACCCTTTCAAATGGACCCCGAAGCCGTCGCTGTAGTCGTAGTGCTACTCGGTGCTTGCACAGCATCTCTAGCTGCTGCTACGTTTGACAAGCGTTGTTGCAGGCGTCCACCTACTGGTGTCTCCACCTTCCCTACTACTACGTTTGAGGATGCAATGGCGGCTCCTAGCACGAATTGGTTTCGTAAGAAACTACGGTGTGATCGTCAATCTTTTTTACTGTTGTACCGCGAATTCCACGCCGCGTGTAAACGCAAGCCAGCAGCCAACAGTAAGTGCCCTCTGGTTAAGCGATTTGCTCTAACAATACTTTACCTAGCGCAGGGAGGAACCATGGACGAGGCCGCCACGGTGCTGGGAATTTCGCGCCCACGTTCCGTGGTTTACATCAATGACTGTTTAGATGTACTCAGCTCCATGGCGGCTACGAAGGTGATTCTACCTAAAGCTAGCGAAGTAGCCTCTATAGAAGCCGGCTTTTTCGCGGTTGCGGGGTTCCCAGGTGTGGTTGGAGCGGTGGATGGAACGTTGATTGCTATACCACGCCCTCATGATTTTGAGGGCTGGTATTGCCGCAAAGGATTTCCTGCTGTCAACGTCCAAGCGGTTGTTGATCATCCCGGAGCATTCCGCTCAATATCCATTCGTTCGGGCTCCAACAATGACCAGTCATTATGGAATGGGTCGGGTGTTAGAAAGTGGTGCGTCATTTTGGTACTATTTACTCTGTGTATGATATACTGACGCTCTCGTACTGTGGTAGCTTGTCCACATTTGTCCCGCCAGGAAAGCACTTGCTGGTCGATGCAGGCTACAAGATATGGGGGCACATGCTAACTCCTTACCCTGAATCTGAAGCCGCTGATGAACGTCGGAAGCGTATCTACAATCGCGTTCATTCTCGCACTCGGATTGCAGTAGAATGCGCCTTTGGCCGCCTCAAGAATCGCTTCAGGATTTTGTTAGCCAAGCTAGAACAGAAGACACCCGGTCGCATTTGCAAAGTGATATACAGCTGCATCGTTCTGCACAACATGCTATTGGCTGTGAACGACAGCTGTGCACTAAATGGCGAGGATCCGCACCGTGCAGAACTACAAGTCCGAGACGACGATGGAGGTCTTTCTGTTGCAGAGCAGTCATTTTCGCACAGACTTGGAAAAACTAAAAGAGACGATCTAGCAGACATATTCATGTCGTAGATTAACCCAACAATTTTACTCGGATTAGCAGGATGGTTGATCGGTATTATGCGTTTTTACGCGCTAAAAGTTGTTGCAATAGCTGCAATTGAATAGCTTGAAAACGTCGAGTTTCCTCGTGGTGCCGTTCTAGTGTTGCGGCTAGGCTTCCCAATCCATCGTCTGGCGACGTGCGTGCTGAAAGCGAAGCTGCAATTGCTTCCATGCCGCTCCGCATTGATGTAGCTAGACTCTCAATTGGAGACAACTTTCCTTTTCCAGGCGCGTCTGCAGGAGGTCTGTCTGCATCACCGGAATCGTGGTCCACCACAGAGCTGTCGCTCTCCCCGCCATCGAGATGGGAGTCCAGCAGCACCTCACCACTTATGCCGACCTTGCCAGAGAAGGCGTCGTGCAAAATACTCCACAGACCGTCGTCAATTTCACGCAGAGAACGAGCACAGTTGCCGGTCTTTCCTTCTTCTCTCTTCTCCTTGCGATAGATGCATTTTAACTTCCGATACTTTTGTGAAACCTGTACAAATTAAGCGAATTGTTAGCAATCTCACCAGCTATTAGACGTTATGGCGATGCATCACCTGATCTCTGTTGATAACGACTCCCAAAGACTGCGACAGCACACTTGCAAAGTATTGCCAAGCTAGAGCAGTCTGGGTTTTGGAATGAGCCGCTTCCAGTCGGCGTTTTACGTCTCCGTCTGCAAAGCGCAGACGCACGAGCTCTGCGACCATCTCGTTTGACCACTTGAGACGCTTGGCCGCTCTCACCTTTTTTGGTGGCGTGCCTGACCGCGCGGCCGAGGGCTCCGAAGTCCCCTTAGTGCTGTGCGCGCCGGTGTTCTGGTCTTCCATCAAAATGCCAAGTGAGCAATTTTTAGCTCTACACTGAAAGATTGGTTGGTAGAGAGAGAGAGACAAGCTTAAGCCTTACTTGAACAAGATGTAGAACGGATAGAACCGATCGTCAGGGCGAGTGCAGACGTCTCCAAACTTTCCCTAACCCACTTACTCACAGCATCCGTTCCACCACCTGAACCAGGGCCTTATGACCAATAATAGGTTTGCTAACATTCATTATGTACTTTTTATGATAATAATTATTATGGCCATGTTAAAATCGGCAGCCCTGGAGAATACTTGCCAGAATTGCATTCCCATACAGCTTTCATTGTGTGATTGTGTTAGTTACTATCATTTACATACACTATACTTGAACTGTGTAAGGGCTTAGGTGGCCGATTTATTTGAACGCATTGGCGGGACCCCGGGGTCCCCAATGGACCCCGGGTCTGTCAAAACAAGCCGGTTAACCTCGGTATGATGCATAGAAAATACATGTTGAAGCGCGTGTTTATCTACTGCTCCTGTTACTTCACTGGGAAAAGTGCAGAATAAATGGTTGTCGAGCCCCAAGCTTGTGCTTCCTCATATTGGGCCTCCCGGGTTTGCGTTTGGGTTCCAAATAGCTCGACTGGTCAGGCAGTTGATCACTGTTGAGAGCTGCCGAAGTTATCAGCGTTTCTGGTACAGCTAGAAAGTAGTCGAGATAGTCTGGAGGGATGGAGAAATACTTTGCAGACAACGATTTTGTTTTCTTGTCTGATAGCGTTTTGACTGGGTGGCGCGGTAGCTGAACATGGTTCCCAGAAGCTTTCCAAACGCTGTGTACAATTGGACCAAACAGCTCTGTTAAAACAGCTTTCTGAATTGCAGTGATGTCTCCATGTGGCACCATCTAAAATACGATCGCATCTTCGTCCAGCGAATTTACCGTCTTTCTAGCTGTACAAACGCCTTGGTCGATCTAAGAAAATAGTTCGACCTTTTCCAATACACAAGACATCAGCGTAAGAGGGGGAAATCATGTATTATTCACACGAGCCCAAGATTGAGGGCGCGGTGAGGCGGGTTAGCTTCGAGCGAGAAAGTCTTCGAGTGAGGAAGTCCCCATTCGATCGCCTGCATAGTCTATGTCAGTCTATCACTAGTCTTTGGTGTTTTTCCTCTTGTCGCTCGAAGCAGAGACTTGCTGATTGAAAACCTCAATATCCATCTAGGATATTTCCCATTTCCAATACACAAGACATCAGCGTAAGAGGGGGCAATCATGTATTATTTACACGAGCCCAAGATTGAGGGCGCGGTGAGCATCCCCCCATAAAGATGTGCTCGTCGCGGTGTCAGAGTTGGGTTGGACCGAATACCTAGTCGGCTTCTAGATCATTCGGCGCGACAGCCCCATAGTAGACTCAGCAGCTAGTACAGGATAGCTCTCATAGCTATTGCTCATCCAGCGACCAAGTAACTTAATAGCGAGACTGTCGGCCTCCCCACTGAGCAGAGCGGTTGCGTCCCCGATGCGAACCGAATGGGTAGAGTAGTTTTCTGGTGGGACTCCTAGTCTTGCTGCCAGGGCCTTCAACGCTTGGGTCACTTCCTCCGCGCTGAGATCCACGCACAAATATGGCGCCGTGTCGTACCCCAATTTCTTTCGCGCTTGCAGAATGTGGCTAAGTGCTCTCTTCGGACACAGCAAATTGTCTCCGGTCGCATGCATAGTCCTTCAAGCACCCCGACCAAATTGATCATTTTTTGCGCCAGTCAAACCGATCGTGACTGCTGTAGCAGCTTTGTATGAACTCCGATAGCCTCGATGATCCGAAAAATATGTGTTGTCAATCCTGAGGCAGTACGCGTGCCGGCCTGACTTCACTCGGAGATACTCAGAGCGCCGAAGTAAGAAAAAGAAAGCCAGCAGGACGGAACCCCACAATAGGCGGCTACGGGGGCGATCGAAGTCGAGATGTCGATGTAGCAGCCGGAGAAATGCTGGCGTGACTGAGTGCTTTTTCCCCACTGGGTCCGAGAGTCTCCTAATTCCTCGCAATAGAACGTCGAGATCGGGGCCATGCTTGACTTCCACTCCAGCGAAGCGTCGATGGTACCACCTGATACTGGAGAGCTTTAGTACGATAGTTCCGTATTGGTTACCGCCGGATCGAGGGCGCCAGCCGTATTTCCAACAGTAAATAGCGAATAATCCTAGCTTGGAGCTGTTCTCCTGTAAATTGTTGCTCAACCATTGCGACCACTTCATATACTTAGCGAAACGTACATACTGATTCCAATGTGCGCGATAGGTAGTGTTGGTAGACTCGGCGATGGCGTGGCCACGCAGCATTGATCCCAGAGGCGTGAGAGATTCTCGAAGGGCGCGGGCACCTGCACCTGTGTCCATCCACACGACAAGTCAGTCCAGGTTTTGTAAAGTGCATGGTCCGTACTCCAGGCTCGTGAACCCGCATCCGCCATAGTATTGCGACACCAGGTACGTGGCGGTCCGTGCATGCCAGTGAGTATTGAAATTCAGCAATCGAGAGTAATCTTAGATACGTTTGAGCTCGTGCTCGGCTACTGGACCGGCGTCGCGCCCATGAGACGGCGCTGGCATTGTCTATCCAGAAGCATACGTGAACCTGTTGTCGGCGAAACTGCTGCGCCCACGCCGGGCCCCAAATGAGTGCTGCAAGAACGCCACTTTGAAGTTCCCGTACATTAATCGAGTTAGCCGCACAGTCTGCTTGAAATTCCTTTTTTGTTGCGGCTGTAAGCCGTACCCGGACATATTGACGGAGTTGTGGCTCTAGAACGCATAGTCCTTCGTCAGAGGCGTCCATGTGCACGTGCACCATCGCTGTAGCCTGCCCTGAGAACTGGGACACCGGGATTCCGTTAAATCTATCGTGGTGTTGCAGGGTATATCGAAACCACTTAAGGTCCTCAAGCGTTTGCTGACACAGCGTAATACGAGCGTAGCGCTGCGCACCGGACGCCACAGATTAGATTCGCTGATAGAAAGCCCGGGCTGGTGGACAGCAGGAAGATATGTGTCGGAGTGAGCCTAAGAGCTGAAGCAGACCGGTTTTTGTAGACGCGCCACTGACGATAAGGGCATCCACTCGGCCTTTGGCCTTCTTCATCTTATCTGGCGGAATGGTGACTGTACCGGCTTGAGTATCCCAGTTGAGGCCAAGTGCCCGCCCTTGCTGCTTCCAGTCGGTAAACTTGCGTGTATTGATCGCAGCCGGACCCAGAACCGTCGCTATCGCTCGGCGTAACGCGATGTTTGCTTCAAAGCAGCGGAGGCCGTCCTCCACTTCAACGCAGGTGTGGTCGTCACACCAGAACAGCCCAGTCAGGGGGCGAGAAGATGCTGCCATCGAGACTGAGGTCTCTTCGTAGAGACGGTTGATGAGCATGCCGGGGACGAAGTACCAAGCTGGGGACCCACACCATCCAAACCCACACGCTAAATCTACGACCAAATATTCTCCGATCACGAGTGTGAACATGTGCACATGGTCAGCGTGAATTGGCACGTGTCGGAACGCGCCCGATACATCCCCAAGCATCATCAGGATATGGGCGCTCGGGTAGTCTCTGCGTAGAGTCAAAATTCGACGAGCGATGTCCCCGGGAGGGTTGTACTTGATTACCGGAAAATTTGCTCGATCAGTGAAATCGTTAATGGATGCACCTTCAGGAAATGAGTAATCATTGATGATTCGGACGTCTGTGCCGTCCTTTTCGACGACTCCGACCGGCGAGACGTATATGTCCTGCCACTGCTCCGCCAACGATGCTTGCACCACGATGTAGCGGCCTTCCTTCTGACCCTTACGAATATGTGTCCATATTTGCGGGAGGTGTTGGTGGATGGAGGTATGGTTGCGTGGACGTGATTTCTGTCGGGCAGGGCGCGTAGATAATCACTCCGGTGATACTCCATGGGCGACGACCTCGTTCCACCCACGCCACGTATCTACTAGCGAGGGGTCCTGGGGTCGGGGCAGCTCATACAGATCCTTGTTCGGGCGGGGATCATCTGTAGTTTGTCCCCGCACCAGGCGGACAAAGTCTGCCAATGAGAGGGCGGAGGCGATAGCGAGATTGGTATGGAACGCGACCATGTTGTCATCGATTCCCGTCGTAAGCACCTCCCCCAGCAACTTCAGGGGCTTTACGCCGTATTTTGCTGCAGTCATCGCCACTTCTTTCGCAGTCTCCGTCTTACAATACGCACTAAGTGTCTCCAAATTGTTCATGTATTTGTTGTGTGGCGCGGTCATCCGCTCACGTACAGCATTGTCGTTTGATTCTAGACTAGCTGCAGCTGGACACAGTGGAGAAGTGTGCAAAGGTACGCCGGAGACCCTTCCACGTCAGAGGTCGACGAACTCCGGTGCGAGTCCGCCGAAGTGGGTCTCAATATGGGTCTTGGCTTCTGGAGAAAGTGACTTGGGCCGAAAATGTGCGCGGTACTTTGAAAAACTTTTTCCTGGGACACCGTTCCCATTGCACCCAGTTTTTGACAGGTACTTGAGGCACAGCTCGAGCGGTCCTTGCTTCGGCAAAGTGCGCGTCAGGCTCTTGGGTACTCCGCTACTTTGTTTGGTCGGCCGAGACTCTCGCGGCCGGCTATGCATCGAAGTGGTCGCGTGTTGTTGCGCTTTCAGCATAGCCTCCAGCTCAATCAGTTTGGCTTTTTTGTAGATCATAGATCAGTTCCGCCAGTAGCGAGTCGTGAAGGGAGAACTCGTCTTTGACTAGGATTGCTACTGCCAGGCCGTCAGAGATGACTAGACCACGAAACTTGCCCAGCTTCATATTGATCCATAGCAGCAGGCGCTTCGTTGTTTCTCTGTCCGGTTCATTTTCGTCAGCGAAATCCTCAATAAACTTGATAGCAGCATTCAGAACGTCCATAGTGTCTGCGTTGTAAAACTTCCTTCCGAATTGACGGAGATTAGTAAGCGCATCCATGAACACTGAGTACGAAATGTCGGTTGTGGCTGATTGGAGGCCGTTCTTCCTGGAAAAATCTGTCATATTGATCACGGAACCGGACGCTCAATGGAAGAATATCAGTTGGGACGTATCAATTGGGCACGAAAACTCGTTCCCAGCCATATTACTTTGTCGATGGCATATATCCTTCGTGGCACATTTTAATAGCCGCAATTCCAACCCCGACCAACGAGCAACAGCGCTTCTTTACAAAAGTACAAGAATCGGTGCGCAAAGAAGTTGAATGTGTGTTTGGAATGTTGAGAAAGCGGTTCTCAATTCTAAAACAACAATGCAGCTTGTGGAATTTGCGTGAAATGGAAGATGTACCTTGGTTGTCGGTGTGGCCGATGACGTTGTAGATCTGCTGCTCAAGTGTCGTTGGGCGAAACGTCGTTGCCGAGCGCCCACGCGCCTCCTCCATTGCCAACATTGATGCTGTCCCGCCTCCGTTAGTGACGGTACCACCGGCGGGCACCGCATCGTGGGTCAATGAACGGTTCTGCTGCAGCACGGTGAGTACGTCGGCATCGTCTTCATCACCTGCTTCCGACGACGTCGACACGCCCATGGGCGTCTCTCCTAGCTCCGTAGCGTCTGCACTTGCTTGGGCCGCCAGCGTCCTGCGTCGCGTGACTGGCCGCTTGTCTTGTACGTCCACGTCTGAGGATTTGCGCTTTTGCGCGACATTTGAGCCTGTACCGGCAGGGGGTTCGAACATACTGGCACCTTTTTTACTCTTTTTGTTACGCGCACAATCCAGAACGTGTTGTCGTGGGACAGACACGACAGCCAGCGTGTCAGCTCGTATGACAGGTACCAGGGCGTCTCCCTCAAACGGAATAGTTAGCGTTTTGGCGAGCTTTGGCGGCAGAGCTCCACGGCTCTTCCCCCACTGAGCGCACGCTTCGTCCATCAGTACTAGAAGCTCTTCCGCGTTGGTGGCGGAGGCGTTGCTTCCCGCTCCGGTCTGCAGAACGTAGTTGGTCCAGTCCACCTTGATGACATTAGGCGGCTGCTCTAACTTGATTTGCTTTGCATCGTCTTTGCACCGAATGTGAAGCCACGGCTGGTGCTTGAACATGTAATATACGGTGACGAGACCGACTGTCCATTCATCCATGCCGATACCATCGGGCTGGATAAAGGCGATCGGATGTCCGACGAACATGCCGGGCCAGAGACCACTCTCCTCATCGGTGACCTGGCGGCGCCGCAGTACTGACACCTCCACTTCATCATCAACATCTTCATCGTCGTCAAGCCTAACGATGGCTACTGTTGCCTTGGATCCGTCCACACTCAGCACTCGTACGTAGCGAAACTCGGTAAGCGAGGGTAGTTGCGCTGGCCCAAGGAAGGCGAGCGATCCAGGCGAGATAGCAGGTTGCGTCATGATTCCGAGCAGGCGGGTTAGCTTCGAGCGAGAAAGTCTTCGAGTGAGGAAGTCCCCATTCGATCGCCTGCATAGTCTATGTCAGTCTATCACTAGTCTTTGGTGTTTTTCCTCTTGTCGCTCGAAGCAGAGACTTGCTGATTGAAAACCTCAATATCCATCTAGGATATTTCCCATTCCATCGGTTTTGAATATGGGACCCTGGGGTCCCGCCAATGCGTTCATTTGGCGCAGTGCATCGTTGTATGCGATCCATGAGATGGATTGCGAATTGCAGCGCGTTTAAACAGCTCCCGCATTTCTAGCAACAAAAGCTCTGGCATATCTAAACAGTAATTTTTAACGTTAAAAATTGATCGAGTTAACCCACCAACGTTTGTGGACAATCTAACCTGGCGCGGAGTGTATTAACTATTTTTTTAAATTATTTATTGAAGCATTGATATTAAACAATTTATTGCGGAATTTTATTCTTATAAATAAAAATGTCATATTCGAAGGATCTTAGACGACATCTTGTTACTCATATTCTTTTCCATGTGCAAAGGTACCTGCGTGACTAAGCTGGCAGAAAGTCATTAGCCCATCTAAGACGAAGATTTATTCTGTATCATACAGAATGAAAATACTACTGATTAAAGTATACCTCGACAACTAAAAACATTTTCTTCATACTAGCCCTTTCGCAGTTGGTGCGTGATAGACCCTGACAATTTGCACAAAAATGCTACGAGGTTAGACAGAAACGTGTTGAATTTGAAGTTGAAACGCAATTCTATTGGCTGAGAGATGGGTATAAAATTGATTATACTGGTGAAGTTGATGTCCCGTTGAATCTGATTGGCACTAGCAAGTTTGCGCTCAAGCTTCGAGCGCCAATTTGGATGGCTGCGCCACGTGCCGCACACTGCGCGACGCTCACCAAATTTTCAGCCAGTTCCTAACTACAGAGACAGAAGTAGAGAGGAACTGGCTGAGAAGTTTGGTGTGCTGTCAAACTGGTAAGTGGACCACGATGCATAGCTTTCGATTCCGTATGCTTATAACTCTACGTCGTCTTCATCACCAGAACTATCCGCACGTTTGCGCTTCCTGAAGCGTAGGCGCTTCTTTAGGTGGGGTGGAATGAGGGTGCCGTTACCCCACGTCGTGTGCCAGATTTGGCTGCACGTGAGGTTGTTCCCGGTTTCTTCATGACGGACACGATTGCAGAGCGGTACGTAACCGTCAAAAGCTTCACAGCAAGCCTTGCAAAAATAACTCGTCTTCAGTCCTTTGGTTTTAAAGGTGCCAGCACAGAACACACCTTGCAGAGATACTGACGCCGCTTGCCGTTGTAAAGTTGCTCATTGTTTTCCAGTACGTGCTCGCGTGTAGGCATTGGGACGGTCGCTAAATCCTCGGCGTTCATGTTGGATCGAAACGTGGCTGCCGTGACTCCAAGCAGCTCCATCTGAAGCCGGCGCATGTACTCAGCATGAGTGGGTACAGGTTTGTTTCTTTTTGCCATCACTAACTTGTGGATTATAAAGCCATTGACTATCGCCATGTCCACGAAGGCAAGAAAGAGCTGCTTGTAGTATTCTCTGAAGACGACACACTGCTGAAGGGAGTAGCTTTGGAGACGTAGCTGGCCATGCCAGTCTACTCCGCCCATTCCCGAGTGGTAGCCGACCACTATCGGCGGACACGGTACTTGCGTCACCGCGCCTGTGCGCTTGTCCTTCCTCACTACGTTAGTCACGGTAGTAGCACACCCGGTGGCAATCATGTTTACTGGCTTGCTGTTCATCCAGGAAACGGCTAGTAGCTTTGGATGTATCGCCGAGTGAGCAATTCGGTAAGTTCCGCGCGGCATCCAAGCTGGTCGTTTCTTCTGTGTAAAGCGGAGATTCTTGGGTGCTCCCAAGCGGTCGCTACGATGTGTCCCCACAACGTAGTAGCCCTTGTCCAACAGGGTCAGTGCCAATGCACATGAACTGTAGAAGTTGTCGGTAACAATGAGTCGCTTGTCAGGCTGCCCGTCCAATGCCTTAGCGATGTTGCGAATGACAGCCGTTTGCGCCACTCCCTTTGCTTTCTTTCGGTCCGTCTCGGCCTCCAAGTACACTTCAACTCTGTAGTATACAGAATAACATACACAACCTCATTGTCAAGTGAGTTTCTTCTGTAAATACGACATACATCAGTTCTGATGAGTACAGAGTAGCCGCTCTACCTTCAGCAATAGCCCGTTTCAGTGCAACACGTCATATAGCACTTCGTGCCATACTTATGCGGTTTATCCTTGTTGTAAACTCGGATAGGATTAAACTGACTTCTATTGAGGATCGTGCCTTCGTCGAAACTCACTTTAGCGCCCATCCGATATCCCCGGCGGAACTTCGTCTCGATGGTTTGCTAGATCGACCGCACTTTCCAAGCCTTATTACATGACGCTGGAACTGTTGTACCGCTGGCAAAGTGGAGGAACCGAGTGATCATCTTGAAGCGGTCGCGTTTCATGTACCGCCCATACGTCCCACGAGGCACCGCACCGTCGTCGCGTGTTGACCAGTGCTTACTCAAACCATCGGTATGTCTACACAGTGTCCTAGCCACGAGAAGGCCAATGACATGAGTTATTTCATGAACTTGCACGGATTTCACTCTCGGCAGCTTTGCCTTGATCTCTTCTAGTGACTGCACTTGTTTTTGCGGGTCTTTATCGTGAGCTGCAAGCTGACAAAGTCGAGTTTTTTTCGGCGATACTTGGAATACAATGCAGGCGATACGCATTGGTTTCGTCGGTGATGCGCACCCACAGAGCTTTCGGCAGGAAGTAGAAAAACATACCAAGAGGCGAGGCAGCAAAAGCAGCAGTTGACTTAGTAGGCCCAAATGTGCCATTGTAGAGATCGTCAGCACTGTCCAGTTGTAGCTCACCTGTATTCAGTGCCATACAGAATAAGTTAGCTCAAATACAACAATTCTGTAGCATACAGATTTATTACCGCTGTGGCTCTCATCATACAACTTCCAACCGGACAGTCCGAGCTGGCGCATGGCATCGTCATCTTGTCGAAATAGCTCGCTCTCATCTTCGAATTCGGTGTCCGACTCGATTTCACTCTCGTACTCAACACAAGCTGGTGATGGTGGGGCAACCGCGTTATCTTCGTCGTCACTTTCTCCGTCGTCTGGAAATGGCTCCGAAGATACGTTGATATCGTCCGTCGCTAAGGGACCGAGCAATACCTCCGTACGCATGGCATCGATAAAGCCTTCGGTGTCAAAGGCATCCACACCAATGTGACGACCACCCTCACTTGAATTAACACTGGTGTCCAGCTCTGGATCCACCGGAATACACGCTTTGTCGCTACCTTGTTCTGTATACTCCGGATTAGATCCTTCGCCTGATGAATGGGTGGCTTCCTCATCAGGGGAACGTGCCGCTGGACTTAAAACCGCTTCAGTAGTATCTGCAGCCGCCATCGTCAAAGGTGAGGCTCGTTGGGTAGCGTCGGCTTGAGTCGCCAGAGTTCCAACGAAGGCTTCGCTTGCAGCAGCAGCTGGTTTCAACGAGCACTCGAGCGGACACAACAGCAAGTTTTTTCGGTGGGGGAATCGGTTATTTCAGCTCAAGCATTCCCTTAGTCCGAGCAAACACCATAAGCTCGTTTTCTCCTACGCCAAATCAAGTTATTTAGTCTACAAAGGACTTTAGATAGCAATTAAGCGCTAACTTACCGACAAAGTGGTCAACGCGGCGCTGTGCTGCATCTAAGCTGCCAGCGACACCAGGCTTCACATAGGTAAAGTCCACACTTAACCCCTTCGGTTTTCTGGCCTTCCATCCCTGCTTGGAAAGCTCGCGCCATAGCTGCTTGAATGTTTTTTCGTACGGGCCGTTCATTGTGGGGAGAACGGACTGTGCGGGATGAAAGCAATGTGTGGTGGTCTGTGAATCAAAACGGCTCATTACAGAACTTTCAAACCTCCATGAATTTTATATTGTATTTTCTATGATGCCAGGAAAATCCCCGTCTATCTTCGCTGCGAAGATCTTCAATGATAAAGCTGCATACAAAATGATAGTATGCGGTGGATTAGGCTGATGGTAAGCTCGTTTGATATAATATCTTGTCCTTTAGCTTATTCTGTATGATACAGAATATCGTCTTAGAAGGGTTAATACTTTACTACTTTCCCTCAGAGGAATTTTATTGTTGGAGCTTGTTCAGAAATGGGAAAGGCTACCCAGTGATTAGAAAAACTAAATTGGTCTATCCGCCGGAAAAGTCCTGCAAGAAAAATGACTAACTGCGGCACCACCGAAATAAAAATACTCAATTGCACAACCTCAATTGCATGGTTAAACGAAACTGCAATACCAAATTGCAACACTACCTACAATATCCAACTGTATACATTTTTTTTACTGTGCTGTGTCCACAGGCATATTGTGAACGCTGTTGATTGCTTTGGCCACAAGTCTAGAGTCCCAAAGCGCGGTTCGTCTTTAAGAACATGATGGAGCTTGTGGACTGCACTAACAGAGGGACACCAACAAGATCTGCTGTCGCTTGATTCGTAGAGATATTATCACCAATCAAGACGGAGATGTTGTCGATGGAAGACACTCAACACGAACACCAACAAGTCTCTGTGGGTCTTGGCAGTGTACGATGGTAGAAAGTATTGTGCTCCGGTAGTTGCGAAGGTGCAAGTGCGTCCACATAAGAGACAAGGGCCAAACTGGCGCCATTGGATTTGGGCGTCGCTGATCTCTCCATGCATTTGGCTTCATTCTCTAAAGTGCTTCAGATAAGCAAGCCGCGTTAGAAGACAACGAGCTTTGTGTGCAAGTGTTTACAGCACTCGCGAACGTCGCTGCGCACATGTTCGTCGTGGTGGAGCTTAAGAGCAATGAAGTCAGTGAACTCGCTGACGAAATGGTAACCACGTCTTCAACTCAAGACTCGAAGCCATGAACTACATCCGGCAGCGCCTGGGCTACAACCAGACGGACGAGATGAAGGACCTTCGAGATCTGATGGGATTCACCAGCGCAGCGCTGCATTCTATGTGGAACCTCGCAAGAACGATTTCGCTCCATTTACCTTGGAACTAAAAGGTCAACGGTACGCCCTCGGCAGTCTAGACATGTTGAGCGAGATGTTCTGTGGATAGTTTCCCAACGTTGCTGGATGTGACTGGGAACGCGTTCTTTACCGGAATGACAGTAGATGGCGGGTCGGTCACCAGCAACGTGCTTTGGGGGGCATCGGAGTTTATAAATGACTCGAAGAGCTACTATCCTCCTCGAAAGACGAACGAGATAATTTATTCCGCGAATGGGGTCGTGGATTTGCATGCGGAACGTGGGAGCCAAAGGACCATTTTATCGACCTGTACCAGACGAACCCTTTCCTGTGTACGGACTGGACGACCGTGGACCACCGCGTTGCTGATCAAGAAGCCATGTCTATTAAATATTTTGATGTGACAGAGTTGTTTTTTCTACCGAAAGTAATGTAAGCTTGAAAATCAATAAGCGATTCCTTTCTCTTACGAAGTTCTTGAACTAACCAAAACTTATTTATTACTTCGACTACATGCAGCTGAACTCGTCCCAAACTTTCTACGGCAGAGCGTGTTGGTAATGTGTACAACAATGGTGCAGTTGAGAGGAACTGCCACTAGATCCCTGGCCGTTTCATCTATCGCATATTGTCGAGACCTGTCTTGGCTTGTGGCTGGAGGTCAGCGATGCACACTTCAGTCCAAGTTCACTGTCCACTAGCGGCACTAATTTTTCGCTGCAGGGTTGCACACTCTCGGGCTCACTTTGCAATTTCTCTTCTCAAGCGCACAACTCTCTTCCAGATGACCATCTATCATCTCCCTGGCTTCGGTACCCAGACACCGGACTTGAAGTGTGACCAGATACCACGCAGTACTGAGCTGTCGGCCTTACTCAACTTGGTGATACCCAGCGTCGACGACTTGTTGCCTCCGATAGAAACGACGTGCAACTTCCTCGAATATGCATCTCCCCAATCGCCACTTCCCTATCCCATGTTCGTACACGAAGAAGCTGCTTCAGCATCGCTGGGAGTTCTGGACGACACTAAAACCAAATCAGGTTGGCTTGAATCGATGCCATTCATCGGTCCAGAGTCACTTGCTCATTACGCTGACGCGGTGATCCCTTTTGAGATTCTCATGGAAGTGTTCGCACTCCCAATGCCACAGACACTTCAAGCCAAGCCGTCCAAGAATTGTGAAGTCGCTGGATGCAATACGAAGAAGCAGAGCAACGGAAGGTGCATCCGACATGGAGGTGGAAGACGCTGCCAGGTCGAAGGCTGCATCCGTGGAGCACAGACAATGGGTCGATGCAAACGCCACGGTGGAGGTGCACGCTGTACAGTTGACGGCTGCACATCCAGTAGTCAGGGTGGGGGCTTGTGTCGCTCTCATGGCGGTGGCAAGTTGTGTACCGCACCTGGCTGCAAGAAAGGCGCCCAACGTCAAGGCAAATGTGCCATGCATGCCTCGCGCAAGTGTAAAGTACACGACTGCTCCACCAACGCTCGTTGTCAAGACCTCTGCAGACGTCACATGAAGGAGCAAACAGCAGAGTCCACACCACTAAAACAACTCGACTTTCAGCTGTAATGACACAACTCATGTAGTAGATATCAATACCATAGCGTCAATCCATCATAATTCTGAATAAACCTCGCCACTTTTGACCTTTTTCAGAGCTCACGAGTCGAAATCCTGCTTCCATTAAGCACCTTCTGCTTGTCTACGGTTGTAAGAGTCGACGGTTTTCTTCTTCTTTGGCAAGTTTCTCCTCTTCTATGGTTTGTTTAGCCAACTGATACCGTGGATCCAGTTTCTCTTTCTTGTAGGCAGCGCCCAAGAATTGAGGATCCGCCTCAGCCTTGTCAGCGTACTTGAGAATAGCCTCGCGTGGGTCTTCTTCTCGGAATGAAGACTTGATGTGGTTGCTCATAAAGTACTGCGTGAAAGACGTGCTGCCACTGATCTTCCCGCCCATTCCTGGACCTGTAATAGGCTTCTCAGGCGCACGAGACTTCTTCGGGTCAGCACGCACCTTCTCGAACTTGCGCTTATGAGACCCAACCGTCTCATCGCGATACATTGGCAGCGCGTGAGGGTTGTACACTTTCCCAGCGCCATCAATACGCACACCCGAGTCAGTATTCTGCACTTTCAGCTTCTTGGTGGCACTCAACAGAACGCCCTTCGTACTTTGTCTAGGGTCGTAGAAGACACGACACATTCCTGTCGAGCTGCCGACGAGAATCTGGTTGATGCCATGATGCCATTCCACGCACACTGCACTCTCGTCTTCCTTCATGTCAATACTAGCGATAGGCTGTAGCAGACCAGGAGTTTGGACATCCAGGAACAGGACCTGTCCACGCAGTCCTTTGCCCTTCCGAACACACGTGCCGGCAGCAATCGCAGTACCGTTGTGGTTAAAGGCCAAGTTACACGTCCCGAAGACACCTTCGACGCCACGGAACTCCTTCACGCTCTGTTTAGGCTTGCGTACGTCCCAGATCTTGATCGTATCGTCCGCACAAGATCGTGAAGCCAGGTACTTCCCATCGGGTGAAAAACGAAGCGAAGAAATACCCACGTCGCCTCCACCGTCCACGTGTGCGTCCCGGATAGTAATTGCAGCACCGGCATACGCCTTACGTGGGTCGATACACTGCACTTGGCCGTCCATCGTAGCTCCAGCAATCATTGAGCCATCCGGGTTGAACCTGCAAGCTGTCACTCCACCACGACGACCACGGCGGTCTTTGAACTTGAACACGGACGTGTTGACCAGCTTGTTGAATGCCTGTTTGCCTCCAAGACTCCAGAGACGCACTGTGCCGTCCAAAGAGCTCGTAATCATTTGATCGCGTAACTTCGGATGCCATTGACCGTCAGTAGCAGAGTGTGTGTGGCCGTTAGTGTGGGCCATGTCCACGACGTACATGTCGCCCTTAGCGAACTGCAACTCCTCGACTCCTTCACGTGTGAGTATCTTGGGTTGAGACGACCCTGTGACGGTAAGTAGACGATCGCCGGACGGACTGTAGCTCACAGCCACAAGCGGATGACCTTCTTCCACCTCAATGTCCCGGAACGGACGCACGTGACGCGCCATGCCAGCAAAATCCCACAGTTTCACGTGGTAGTCCATGGCTCCAGTGGCCACGCGAGCACCAGGTGTGTCGACAGCGATGCAGGCTAGTGTCCTCGTGTGGCTCTCGAGACCTACTTCATGAGACTTGGACAAGCCGTATCGAAGCGCGACATCGTCGTTGTCTTCTTCGCTCTCAGATTCCGATTCAGGAGCGTCGTCGTCATTGCTCTGGCTCTGTTTCTCATTGTCGACAGTGTTAGAGACTTCAGGGGGCGTCTGCATCATCTCTGTCGTCATCGCTGCGATCTCAGCTTGTCTCTAACAACCAATAACACGTTAGAATATGTTGCGTATCGCTACAGATTGAATAAAACTCACCTTGTTCCTTTCTTCATCAACTGTCGACGGCTTGTCGCTCTTGTGTTTGTCTCCGAAGCTCTGCATCTCACGCATCATCCGCTGCAGCTCGGGGTCTCGGCTTGCGGATCCTGAAGCGTTAGATGCTGCGTTTCTAAACACGTAGGTCCTTGTACTGGCTCCGAGTTTGATACAGTCTCCGTCTCTGAGTGGGCGCGGCTCGTTCGGCTCGATCTCCTGGTCGTTGACGAATGTTCCTTGGGCTGATCCCAAGTCCATAAGACAGATCTGCTCCTTGTTGTTATGCGCAACGACCGCGTGTTGGCGGGAGATGGATGGATGCTGAAGCCACACATCGGCGAGCTCCTCGCTGCGTCCCAATACGTAGCAAGAGCGCGTTCCAATACAGATCTGCTCGATTATTTCGCCTCCTTTTTGGACTTGAAGTGTAGCCTCGCGGTTGCGGCGCGCTGGCGACGAAGCCCTGACGATACATAGGAGAGATGGAGTGTAAGTTAATGTGTGAAGCAAGCCAGGAGGACGACGAGAACGCACCATTTTGGAGCGCGGGACGCCATTATTTGCCTTTAGATTATGTTTCTAAAATAAGTTTTAGCACGCTTTTACCGGTATTTTTAACGTTAGAGCAGTGAAGTTTTTCGACGCTTTTACATATCCTAAAATTCCATTTTTATTCTTTTTTCTTTTATTTCATTCGCGCTGTCCGACGTCAGCATGAGTATGTGGCAGCTACTGGAGCAGGCAGCCAAGAACGCGTCGGCCAATGCCTCAGGCTACGTGAGCTCCGTACAGGAGAAAGCGCACAGTCTGGCAGCTGCGGTTCAGGACGAAGCGTCCACTTTACTACACAGCGCTATCGGCGCAACCCGCATTGGACCTGTGGACGAGATTTTATACGAAGAACTCGCGGATTACAAGGAGTTCTCGTCCTTCTTCTCAGCTGAGGAGCACACGCATGAGATCACACGCACCTTGGACGAAGACGCGGAGATCCGAGAGCTCCACGACGCGCTAGTGCCGCTGGAATTGAGCTACGACGAGTTCTGGTGCCGCTTCTTCTTCCGTCAACAGCAGAGTGAGCAGATGCAGCAGCAGAAGGAGATGCCACCGGAAGAGAAGAGAGAGGACGAACATAGACCGGAAGATAAGCTGGTAGACAGAGAGAAAGCAGGCAGTGGGGACCAAGAGGGAGTGTGGCTATTGAGAGCTGCTAGAGACGCGGAGCGCCGTGCAGCGACGCAATGGAGACAGAAAGCCAGAGATTTACACCATCAGCTACAGGAAATCAAGCAGATTAACGATGAGAAGCAGCAAAAAGCTCTCAAAGAGTGGGAACAACAGCTACAAGATCTTTGTGACACTTACGAGAGTAAAATGGCTACAGCTACGATGCAGATTGACGAAGCTAGAGCTGTCGGATACGATGACGGTGTTCGTGAGAGTCAGGCGATTGTGGAGAGTGTAAAGCAAAAGGCGGAAGAAGACTTGACTCGTCTTCGGATGGAGATTTGCGAGGGTGGAGTGGACACGAGAGTGAAGGTCTTGATGGAGGAGCTACAGAAGGCGCTGGAAACGGCACGTAACAGGATTGCAGAGCTGGAGAAAGGAGATGCATCCATTGGAGGCGCAGCTCTTGCAGAGCTGACGAAGGAGAAGGATCTGTGGAGGATGCGAGCTTTGAAGATGAAGAAAACTCAAGGATCTAGTACAAGTCGAACTCACGACGTTGCGTCAACAAACGTGACGCCAATGCAGCTGATACGCAAGCGGGCTCTGACGCTGCCAACTCGGACGACCACAGTAAGCTTCAGACGCGTATGAATGAGTTGCAGACTCAACTAGCCAATGCCTTGGCTGGTGCTGAAGCGCGTGCTCGTGAAGCCTATGAAAAGGGGATTGAAGCAGGCAAAGCCGACGCAGAGCAACGCTCGAAACAAGAACGCGATCAAGCATTCCAGGAAGGCTATAGGAAAGCTCAAACTGAAGCCAAGAGCGAGATGGGCGTGCTGAAAGCTGAACTCGGCATGTTCCGTGCATTCCACGAGAGTGCAGCTCATTGTGCCGATCAAGTTGGTGCAGACACGGAAGGGCTACTGGAAGACTCACTTGACGACGTCTCACTGGCTGATGGACAACCGCTGTGCTCCCCTACGTCGTCGGTCTCGGTATTTACTGACAACGGCACGAACGATTTTTCCATCGCAGAAGCGCCTAAGTCTACAGACGACTGGGGTGAGTGGTAAAGAGAGGTATTATTGTATGTGCATGTAATCTGCTTGCTGTTATTCCTTAAGTGTTGCTTTGTTCGCGGCGAAAAACCGGTGGAATGAAAGAGCCCCCCTTAAATTTTGCCGATTTTCAGTTTTTGGTCGTTTTTCAGAGCATTTCTTGTGATTTTTAGCCTTGAGACCACCTGTTTTTCTAAATTGCTACTGGGCCCCCTTGCATTTTTGTCCTAGCTCAAGAGCGATAAAATTTGCGACTCTCGTCAAGCATAACATACATCCTAGAAAAAATTAAAATTTCCTAGATTTCAAGCTGTTGTCCGTCGCATTGATTTTTAGGTTCTATTTTTTATTTTTTTGCTGGCAAGGACGTGCTGATCCAGACTTTCGGTGGAAGAAGGCGTTATTTGCTTGTACCCATTCGCTAAAGATGGTCTCGATCTCTGAACGAGGGTGTTTCCATTGTGTAGACCTGTTAAGCACAATAAAACAGGTTTAGCGTCGCATACAGGATAAAAAAAACAGCATAAGAGTCGTACCGATTGGAATGATTGCAGAAGTAAGGTCTGCCTTTTTCAGTGAATCGAGTCTCCCACCCATCCGGCAGGTTTAGCACAAGAAATTTCTTCATATCTTGCCAGCTCATCTTTGAGCGCACACTTGAAGATCGCACCGGCGAGGAACTTGGTCTCTGAGGGGGTGGCGCTGGCTACAGGATAACGTCAGCACTCTAGAATTTATTTAAAATAAAATACAGTATAAAGTTCTTACCCTGAAAACGACAGGTTCTGGGTATTCGACAGCTGCGATTTTCTCTAAGACGGGGCTGCTTGGCTCCGGTGTTGGTATCTTTGGTGGCGGCGCTCGGACTTTCTCGTACGCTTCGGCGTCACCACAAAGCTTGATAAAGAAATCTAAACAAATGGGATATCTTGATAGATTTTCACAATAATAAATAGACAAACGCACCTTCAATGGCCACACGACCGACCATTTCGGGGTCCAAGAGGTTAGCCAACGTAGATCGTTGCTCCACTGTAAGAGCAAGTCCAAAGTCTCCGAGAACATCGTTGAGTACTGCAAATGTTACCTGCTCAAACAGATTATGTAGCATGAGTTATAGCGCACCGGTTTAGGATTTTTTCGTACCTTGCCGGGAACTTCCGCTTCAGCCGCCAGAGCCTTCTTCAAGCCATTATATGGTCGCTCAGGACATCGACTTGTCAAAATTCCACGTATGGCTGAGAGGATAACGTGTGCTGATGCATCAGCTGAAAGCCTGCATTCTTTTAAGTTGGATGCTTCTCGAGGCACATTCTTGTGCTTCTCGCTTATTGCATTTAAGCGATGGATTTCTGTTTGAAGAGCTGCAAGTCTACATTTTCATCATAAGAATATAAGTTTAAAGTTTCGCAGATAGCAACAGTGCACCTCACCTTGTGGCGTGTTGTTCCTCCGCTGCAAATTGTTCCTGTCTGGCCTGTTCCAGTCTTCTTTTCCACCTTTCAGCATTGTCTTCTGACGTCTTGTTTGAAGTGTACGATAGCTGCTGAACTTGTGCTTTAAGCTGTTTGACTTGCTCTTGAGCCTCCCGTTTTGACAGCTCAGTCGCAGCAATAGAATCCTGCAGGTTTTTCACCTGATCGCTGCTGTTTTCTTGTATTAATTCCGTCCCTGATGTCAGGATTTCACCCGCCAAATACTTTGCACCAAGTTTTAAAGGTACTCGAGTTCCGGGAATATTTCGTCTTTTTTCGCCCATCATATCCTCCATACTACTCGTAGCTATCTTCACGTCAAAGCGACACGTCAATGCAGCCACGCCAGCAGACACTGAAGCTGTGTACGACCGCAGTGGTACTCGCTCTTCAAAAATGTGACCTTCTTGAACGATTGCAGACCCGATTGAAACTTCTCCTTCTCCAACTAATTTGTCAGTTTTCGACTGTTTATTGAAGACTGCGATAGCAAGTTTTGGAGTTATTGTCGCTCCAAGACGCATACTACCGAGCATCGTTTGCCATTGCGACTCATACGAAGGATTCGAGGCGACATTGAAAAAATCCACAGCCCAATCTGAAGGATAACCTTCCACGGCGTAATCACACGAAGTCAGCGGATCATACGCGGTGCAGTAGAGTCTCGGCTGTGGAGATTCCGCTCCATGTGGAAGAGCTCTTCGTACACTGATCACCACAAAATGACCGGGCGTATCACTCTCCCCAGTAATAAAATTAATGTTCTCCGATGATGATGTACTTCCAGGGATACACGCGACTTTGACAGTGTCTGTGAAAACGACAGGACGGTCGATACGATGGTCACATCGCTCAGGTTCTTGGATCTTTATCTGCGTCTTAAAGTTCCACTGCACAGCTCCAGATCCACTCGCTCGAGCCACTCGAGTCGTCAACAAAGACCCTTTTGGATGAAGCTCCATGACCGCGTAAGTGTTCTGTTGTCCCGAGATGAAATCTTGGAACTCTTGCCAGCTAGTCTCGACGTTAGTGTACTTACCCACAACTTCGTATTGGACTAGTAAAGACGACACTGTGTGTGTTACGAACGTCGCTAGAGCACGTAATGGCGGCGGTAACTGCGAGCCTTGTAGTGACAACGTATCTGCGACCAGTTGCTGGAAATTAGACTTGTTGTGTTGATCCAGAAACTCGCTTTCGATGGAGAGTACCAACTTTCTAGAGGACACGGACCAAAAGAATGGCAGGTCCACTTGGGATAGCAAATTCCGTAGCGTAGATACGAATGCACTGCTCTCCACCATTGACAGACTGAGAACATGCACACGAGAGCTGTGTGACTGATGTCGACGTCTAAGATCGACACGCATTCGGTCAATTATAGTTAGCATTGCTTTGTCAATTTCCGGGCGATAGTCGCTTGTTATGAGACCGTATGGCGACTTCGCGAAGGTCAATTCCCGAGAAACTTCGTGTATTTCTTGTTGGCGACACTCAAAGTCTCGAGATCCTAATTGTGCGACTAGATTTGGGTAGTCAAATTCATCTTCGCAAAGCTGGAAATCGGCAGAGAATTTGAAAATTGGATCCCTCGCTCGGACGATTAGATGTCGGTTTGTATCAAGTGCAATCGTCACGAGATATTGCTGTTCTCCTTGACAGAACTGCAGGAAATTGGAGAGCGCGTGGTCGAATTTTAACTCGATTTCTCTGACTTTTTCAAGACGCATGATCAAGCGAAACAAATTTAAATTAACCACTGAGTTGGCTTGTGATTTAACCTGACAATCCGTTCGAACTGCATCAACTGCGAGCGAGAGAAGAAGTGGCGTAACACACCCTCCAAGCTTATTTTCTGTCTGTATCAGGAACCCGGTCTTCAAAA